GCCACCATATTAGTCAGGCATGATTGGGGCTCCCAGTATCAGATTAAAAATAACATGGCCACATAATAAAAGCCCTGATCTAATAAAACTCACTGGTTCAATGTTCTTAAAATGTGCAGATTAACTTTGTGCCAACAGGCTTTGTGACGAATTAAATATCATCTGTCCACAATTTTATGTTTTTGCTAGAAGTATTTTTCCTCTTTGCATGCATTGTAAAACCCCTGAAACAATAGCACTGTCCTTCTGTTTTCTGACTGATTCAACAAGACGACTAGGGATTCATGTATGGACCAAGTTACATTAGGATCAAGAAGGGACTTAATTTGTTAATACAAGATTGCTCTTCAGAACCATGATAACAAAACCTCAGCCTGGGAAACCAACTACATCTGTGAAATTTTCAAGAGGTCAGAGCTAGGGTTGGCTGGGATGACAGGAGTGCTTTGAATTGCTGCACAAGTCAATCTTAATTGAACCTTGCACTGAATTTTGGATTAGGGAACAAACATCTCACTCATGACTGAATATGCCCATGGTTATATCCATCAGACCATCAGCTGTGTGGACATACATTAAGTATGCTGGTCCTGAATTAAACGTTGGTTACTTACACCATTCAGAATAATTTTTGAGCCTGGGATCATCCTACTTTCATACAACCAAATGGGTGTTTAAGTCTGATTTTCAAATATCCTACCGAAAGTTGTGGTGGTCTTTGTCTTAGGTTAAAAAGCTTTGGGGAATTTCTAATCTGCTTCTTAGTAAAGATCTTTGGTTAGTAGGAGTGAACTTAGTGAAATTATTACTTTCTGATCAGAAACTTGATTTTTTTTTTCACCTGAAGATAAAATGTTGATTTTAAATAGAAAGTTAATATTTTCCTCTTCTTTGTGTAACGTTTAAATGTCTAGCAGCTTCATGGCTTTTAATGATAAGCAGGACTTTTCTTAAACTTCCCTTTCCCATTTATCAGTTACGAGGAGAGTTTTTCATTCTGGTTTTGACCACAACTTAGTATCTACAACATGTCATCGTCCTAAGTCCGCGTTTCTTCTCTTTCTCCTGGGGGTCAGGAGCCAGATTTGGCTCACTGGCAAACCACTAAGGAGTCTGATTGCTCCATCTGGCACACGGGCCATGGGGCAAGGGAAAAAGTTCTGTCCTTCTGCTCCATGAAATGTGAGCTCAGCAGGAGCTCAGGAAAACATCTGAAAGCAAGTGCCTTATGCAGTGCATAAGGATGCTGATGTTGAACAGCAAGTAATAGCTAAGGATCAGGGAGCTCAATCTGAGCCTACTGGTTTGTCAGACTGAATTTTTGGCTGGTTAACATGGCTGTTTAATAGACTATTTTTCCTTCCATTTGTCAGTGCTCTCTCACTGTCAAAAGGCCCTTATACTTATGCATCTTAAATAACCATGGTTTGGGGTTTTGTCTCTTTTTCTCTTGACAGTTTTTCTTTCTACTGGAACTGAGTGGCACCAACTTTTTCTATCCATGCTTGTTTCTTAACAGTTTTTATACTTGACTTTTAAAATAATTACAGTTAAAAGTTTTTCCCTATTTTCACAGCCCACATATCAATTTTTACCCACTCAACATACACAACTGGACTTTAAAAACCCCACAGAATTCCTAGTAAGCAATATTGGGAGATAATTTCTTTGCAGCGTCATCCAGCTATCAGATTTTTTTTCAAAACCCACTATTAATACTTGAAAATTTGATTGCTTCAGTATCAGCAGCCAAGAGCTGAAATTTCCTTTGACATCTTCCAAAAGGAAAGAACTATCTTTTGAAGAACAAAAGATCAGCCCAGTCAGATCTGAGGAGACCAAGAGTCTCCTCATGTTATGAGGTACTATGAAATGCTATTCAATGTCATTTTTTTTAATTTGGATTGTTCTTTTTCATTGTCCGTGACGACATCAGAACATCACAGGCCATGTCTATGCAAAGTTTGGTTTAGCACTGCAGCGTAGCACTGAAAATCTGATTGCAATGGCGCAAGTAAACCAGCACGCAAACTTCATTAAAACATTTCACTGCTCTGTGTCTGGGGGTTTTCCTTCCAATAAATATTGATATCTCTATAAAGCACCTTGTAATGAAAAGACAAGTTAGATCTTAAATATTGTCATTACTGTATTACTGTACTAGACTGAAACCAAATCTTCAATTGATCCAGTTGCAAACTTTATGTTGGAGTTAGTATTTAGGGATGTGAAGCAGACCCCCATGCTAGCTTGTTGTTGAAGCCTGCTTCTACACGACCCAACTGTGAAGTGATTCCTGGTCATTTATACTTTGAAATCAAATACAGCCAGGTATGTCACCAAATCCCTGTCTTTCATGGTCTTAGATACAGAAAGCGGTGTGCCTTAACCATGCTGATCTTAAGGTTCACCTAACATTTGTGAACCTTAAATTAGTAAGTTTTGACCCATACTCAGATATGGGGGTCTAGGTGTGAGAAATGGTTCTCTCAGAACATATGTCAAGATGACTCCAACCCACCTGCAGATCACAAAGGAAAGAGTTCTCAGTCAAAAAGACTAAATTCAACTTGTGCACAAACTTCATGCAGATATGATGGCTTTGTTGGATGAACAATGAAATAAAGAGTGGTGAATTGAAGCACAAGAAAGAGGGAAAATCCCTTGAGGCCTTTTTAATGAAGCGAATTTTGCCCAGATGCAGCATGTAAGGTGTGACTGTCTCATGTCTTGGGCACTCTACAGTCACGCATGGGAATAGAAACACATATTTTCTTACTTCTTTAATGCTTATGACTCTTGATACATGGAAAGTTTGATTTCCCAACTATTATCTGAATCACTGGCAGTCATTCAAGGCAGGACTGTGCTCAATAGTAGGTCAAGAAGGGTGTGTGCTGCTCCTCAGTCACATTCCTCATTCAGAGTTTCTCATTCATACTATTTCACAGGGGATTTCTCTGTTAACCAGCTGCTGCAGAAACTTGTCATATGACAATTTTCAAGGCTCGGATTTTTTTTTTTTTTTTTTGACATTGAACATAAACTCTCATTTGAATATAAAAATAGGATATTGAATGTATTTGTGTGTATGGCTGTCTGCCTAAATACATATTTGACATCTTTTCTGGTTCACTCTAAGGCTCTACCTCAAGCCTTTACTAATCCCTGTAGCTTTTCAGTGAAAATTTAAAAAAATATATTGTTATCCTCAGAGATGGGTCTCATCACATATAGTAGCTTTCCACTAGCCTCCATGGGAGGAACAATAAACAGAACAAATTTTAAACGTTTCCCAAACAGCCAGGAACAGAGAAAATAATCAAACAAGTAACATTTCTATGATTAAATCTCTTTTACAAGCCCAGCATGGAAACCAAGGGCATCAGTCAAACAATAGCCAACATCAGCCTGTGGTTAGAAATTTTTTTTTTAAAAAAGCAGCTCCTTTTCTTTTGCCCTTCTTATTCCAAGTTCCTCCATCACAGGCTCCCTGGCAGTGGGACTTGGCGATAATCTCCTGGAATATCTGACGTGTAGAAGCCAACAGGATTAAAGCACCTCGTGCTCCTCAGCACAGTCATGTGATGACCTGCTGATCCCAGCAAAAGGCATCGTTTCCCAGCAAAATTCATATGCCTATACATTGTTCCTGCCCTGCTGAGATTCTCCCTAAGCATAAGGAAATAATGATGCTTTTAGCAGAAAAATAAAACCAATCTTACTAATAACAGTTGTAGCTGAAGAAAAATGGAAAATTCATGTGCAATTTGTCCAGCAGTAGAGCAACTCCTGTCCCTTTGCTCCAAGGGGCAACTTCAAAGGACATGTAACTTCAAATGCCATCCATGCAGCTCTGTTAGCTCTGATCAGGCTGATGTATAAGGGGGGTGGTCTTGAGGCTGCCCAGTCACATATTGAGTAAAGAACACAGATCTGGTGTTTGCAAACTGCCTGATGCAAGAAAAACAGGAGTCAAGGCTTGTTTCCCAAATCCAGACACAACTGCTTAAAGGCGTTTCTGCCACTTTATTGGCAGTTTACCAGTATTCCACACAAAACTGCAGAGAAAGTTTGGGTGCAGATTTCGGTATGTCATTTACTGTCAAAGTGATATGGATTATAAGGGAACAAAAAATTTATTTTTTGAAAAGTTTATTGCTTCACTTGTGAAGGTACTTTGCTGTAGGGTGGCCTGGGAAATGCAGCTCACACTGAAATATAAAAATGCCAAGCCAGGTTCTGGTTCTGCCCTATGTTCACACTTAATCTGACCATATGTCATGTTTACTTCCTCTTAAAAAAATAGATAGCTTACCCCCAAATTGTTTATTTTCTAATTTTTAGGGTCACTGTGCTTATTTAACTGATAGGATTCTTCTGGGGCTTTTTCTAAGCAACCATTTACTCTAAATCATATAATCAAACAAGGAATTTGAAGAGCTGACAATTGTTTCTGTGTCCAAATTAACATTTTACTTCCTATCCAATTGCCAGAGGAATGAAATCATGTGTTAGGCAGAAGATGAAAGTTTATAATAAATGTCTGTATTTTGAAACCTGTAGGGGGTGGGGAAAGAAGTCACTTGGCTGTCACCCAGAACATGTGATAATCAGATTAACCCTGAAGCGTATTTTCTGTGTAAATGCATCCAGGATAGGAATGGGTAAGGACATTGGAGGGTGCACTGTAGCAGAAGTCAGCAGTGTTTCATTGCTGGTGGAGGGGAGGAATTTCTTTCACACCCCAGACTTTGGAGGGGTCAGAGCGAGCACTCCATGCACTGAAGCGTAACGCTGATGCTCTCCTGCTGCTCTGTGAGGATGTCGCTGTTTGCCATGGGTTTTCTCCTAGTCATCCTTCAGCCAGCCACCGGGCAGTTCCCCAGAGCCTGTGCGAACACGCAGAGCTTGCAGAGGAAGGAGTGCTGTCCTCCCTGGGCTGGAGACGGGTCCCCCTGTGGGGAACTTTCTGGCAGAGGGTCCTGCCAGAACATCCTGCTCTCCCAGGCTCCACTGGGACCCCAGTTCCCTTTCTCAGGAGTGGATGACAGAGAGGACTGGCCCTCCGTATTTTACAACCGGACGTGTAAATGCGAAGGAAACTTCTTGGGATTCAACTGTGGTGAGTGCAAGTTTGGATTCTCAGGAATCAACTGCACTGAAAGGCAACTGAGAACAAGAAGGAACATCCTCCAGCTCACCACCAGTGAGAAGGACAAGTTTCTTGCCTACCTCAACCTGGCAAAGAACACCCTCAGCCAGGACTATGTTATTGCTACTGGCACGTATACTCAGATGAACAATGGCTCCAACCCCATGTTCAGAAACATCAACGTGTATGATCTCTTTGTGTGGATGCATTATTATGCCTCTCGAGACACACTCTTAGGTGGGTCCAATGTGTGGCGGGACATTGATTTTGCTCATGAAGCCCCTGGTTTTCTGCCTTGGCATCGGGTCTTTCTGCTGATGTGGGAACGTGAGATCCAGAAGATAACAGGTGATGAGAATTTCACCATCCCCTACTGGGACTGGCGCGATGCAGAGGATTGCGTGGTCTGCACTGATGAATACATGGGTGGCAGACATCCCACCAACCCCAATTTACTCAGTCCAGCATCATTTTTCTCCTCGTGGCAGGTAAGAACAGTGAAAGGGGAAGGGAAAGGCTGGTTGTGCCAGAATTGTCCTACCTGACTTTGGTCACTTAAGTGAGGTGCATAGGCTGGGAGCTTAGCCATGCTGCATTCCCTTAGACATTCCTGAAGAAAAGTCAGCACTACCATAGAACAAATAAGATTTTATGTTCACCTAAACTTCAGTTAGAGCTGTTCATTTGTCTCCTTGTCTCTTCTCTCACTGACTGTAGGATTTAGGCTGCTTAATTAAGAACCTACAGTTAAGGTGGGAAAAGGAACATTAAGCCTTTGTGTCCAGACATGGTTTTAGCAGGCTAAACATGCTTGGGGATGTTGAGGCAGTCAGGTGAGAAAGAGCAGGATTTATGTACACAAATTGCTAACACACAACCATTGCAAGACAGTTGGTGACTGAACGATGGAAATAAAAGCAAAGAGTTTTTGAGGGTCTACCGCTCTCCCAGTGCCTGCTTCCATCCAAGAGTTAAAAGCTATCCAGTTAAGCTTGTCAGCTTTCAAACTAAAAACCAAACAAAATATAACTTTAACAGCTGTGTAAATCACAATAGTAGTTCAAAAGACATATAAGAAGTAATGCCTGTTGCTCAAAGGAACTAAGAAATAAACTCAACAGCTATTGCAACTTAAAAGCACGACAATTAAACCAGGGTAAATTTCGTATTTACATAGGTGTTGTGTTCTTATATAGCTGAACTATACTGTGCTATGCTAACCCTGAGAGCTTCTAGACTTTTTTTTTGTCTCTTGCTCATTACTGCCACATAGCCTAAAATACGGTGACAAAGGTCTATTGGCTTCCATAGACACACTCCATCATGACAATAGCAACAGTCCCTTCTGGCACTGAAGTCTATGATTATGTTGGTGTAAATCTATCTTTGTTCTATTTATTTCTGTAGCAACAGCCCAAATGAAGGTTGGGCAGTTTTAGTGATTTAATGGGAAGTGAAAGAGATACAAGCTCCAGCAGCTCTCTGATATTCTGGCATTACAAAACAGCAACTAACTGGGTTGATTATACTGTGCTTCGTCTTGATTTGTGTCCTCTGAACAATATAGGCTGTGTATATACCTGTAAATTCAAACATTGTCATATACTGTGATAGACCTATTTTAGGACATTCTCTGGCATACATTTAGTATGTATTGACTAGTTCTCCCCCTAAAAGGTACCTTTCAGGGATCATTTTTCAGATGAATTTTTGCAGATAGCCACCCTGTTTGGGAGGTTAAGATGATTTTACTGGCATAGACATGGATTACTTCATGCCATTTGGCCTCATTGCTCAGGAAATTTCCTGGCCACATTTAATTTACCAGTGTAGGCACAGCTATAAAATAGACATAGCTACAAGCATGCATTTTCATCCCATTTTCTAAGATTCTGCTCATTTCTAACACTATGAATCGCGATGAACTCTACTAACTTAATTAGATGGCATGATCCGATGCTCTTCTGCACCGAGATGAATAAAGCGTCATGTGAACATGGTATAAGTGTTAAAGTGGATTAAATGAAACTAGAATTGCACTGGTTACATGTGTCAAGTGGAGATATCAATACAGTATATTGGATGAGATAAACAAGGTAGTAGAAGGCAGGTAGTATGAAAGAATCAGCAAGTTGCTAACAGAAAAGACCTGGAGGGGTTAGATAGTTATGTTTAGCTCATTTTTTCAAAGGTACTATTAATCATATCCAAATTCTCAATATTTTTCCACCTTGGTAATAAGTACTCAGAAACTTTATGAGTAGTAATGAATACATTTAAGAAAACAGTCAGGTTTATAACTTCTCATTTAAGGTCAGTTCCCACAAATATATTATGAAGATAAAGACACATTTTTAGGAAACAAGTTGCTTTAACAATTTTTTTTTCTAATAATTTCAGCAGATAGAACAATAAAAATTGTGCTGTATTTAAAGCACATTCAGTGTCAGTGTGACTGCTCTTCGCTATAAGAGCACCAAAGCCCTTTGTGGAAGTTTTCCAAGTATTTTCTGAAAATGGATGCTTATCACTTAGATTTTTCAGCCACTTCTGGAAATGCTATACTTCTATCAAAAGTTCCAAAACAGGGCAACAATAAATTTCTCTTCAAAGGGGTTTATTCCCCTTTAACATCTTCTATCCATATATAACTCTGCTGCCTTATCTAGCGAAGGAATGAAAGAGATTGAACATATCTGCATTTTCAGTCAGTGAGTTTGAGGTAAAAATACAACACAAACTGATCTTTCTTCATTAGCCTTGAATCCAAATTTAAACAATTGCTTATGAGGGAATAACTTAGTCAATGCAGTTCCTTCAAGTAGCACAAACTAAGAGATCAGAATCTCACTCCAGAAAATCAAAAGGGAAAAAAAACAGCCTTAGCTTGAAGTGGAAAACAGCCATAGGTCTACTGCGGAATAACGCTGATTATCCAAGCTCTGTAGCTAAACAGCAAGAGATAAGGGGGGGAAAAAAAAGGAAGATCCAGAAATGTGAAGGAATTTAGGCTTTTAATGAGCATTAAGAATAAGAAGGGCAGGAGAAACCTTTTGAATAACACAAGTATAATATTGCGTCCTTTTTAAAATTTTAAGTCTCATTCCAAAGCGTAACAAAACAATGTCTTCTATGTTAGGAAATAGTTATAGATTTATTTTTTTTAAAGGAAAGGGAAAGTGCCTATTTGCAGAACAGCATCTCTCTTTTTTTTTAATCCCCAAAGAAAGGAGAAAATACTTTATTCCGTTGAGAAGTTGCCATGGCAACATGGATACCCATGAATACAAGCTGAAATTCTTGCTTTCGCCTTACTTTTTCTTCAACATGCTGCTGTTACCAGTTAACTGAGTGAAATATCTGTCCACATTTTTCTCGTGTTTATCATCTAAATGGAACTTTTGATTTCTGCCTCTGGTTTTACCAGTAAGACTATCAGGAATCTTTAGTGTTTCTATTTGTTTTCTTGGCTCATGTTTTAGGGCAGGTGGGAAGGATTTTCTCATGTTTTCAGTTACTTCTTCGTTATGCTGCAAGTGTTGCATTCAGAATGAGGACTGCATGACACCTATTAATCATTTACCAAATTTTGTAATTCCATGCTGACTTAACAGAAAGCTATGTGGGAAATGGAGATCTTCCATGACATTGTAAGAGGGGTTTTTTTTGTAGTGTCCATTTCTATAATTATTCAAGATAGCGGAATTGCTAAAATAATATTATTATGCCTCACTTAAATAGTATAAAGTGATATTCTGCTGTCTTTTGTACCAGAACGGATTTGGAGAAATAACTGAAGTCAATACATTTACAAATGCATAAAAAGTCTTCTGCAAATAAAAGTGGAATCTTTCTACTGGTAGTTAACTGTAGAGTTTGGGGATCCCCACAGTGTGCTAGACAGATGGTGAAGAAAATACATCAGGAGAATGTAGGTGTTCTTTTAGGTTTGCTATTGTGGCAAGCAGGCTACAGCATCAACTATAGCCCTCTGTTTTTTTTCTCTCCTATAAGAATTACTTGAGAGAAGTAATTGCATAACATGGAGAGCTGTCTGCTCTCAGATGTGCTGGTGTAAGCCTGCAGTCAATTCTTTGTTGCAAGCACTGAGAATTTCCCTCAGCACTTCAGTCTGTATCACTCTGCAGAACCGCTTACACAAATGTAAAGCTACTACAAAAGGGAAACAAGTTACACAAATAGAAAAGGGATATAATGCTTCTGCACTAATAATGGCAGTACTTTAGATCCATTACCTGAAAATATGACTTCATAAGAAATACAAAATTCAACTATTCAGCCACAGTTATTTAATTCTAAGCACAGTTTATCAGGAAACTCTTTTGCTAGCTGAATAGTCTGAGAGGATCTTTTGAAGCACTATTTCATGTCCACCTTTAAAAACTGCAGGAAATTTAAAAAAATACATACACCAGAAGCCAACACTTCTTGATTCTTAAATCAGCCAAAGTCTTACATCCATTGGCTTGTGGACACCCAAGTGTCTCATGAATTCAATGACTTTATTTTTTTATTACAACTTAATAGGTTTTGGTGCCAGCTACAGGGTGTTAAAATAAAAAACAACAACCCAAATAGAGCAAGTAACTATAAAGAAAGAGTTTATCAAAATTGGTCTCCTAATGATGTGCTTACGTGGATTATAAATTTGAAACATTTTCTGTTGCAAAGAGATAACTCTCCACATGCCACACCTCAGTACCACGTCCTGAGGTTTTGTGCACAGTACAAGCAGCCACTCAGGTATCCTCAGCCTCTTTATGTCACTGTAATCTCGAAGTAATTCCCCCTCGTCAATGGGATCATGAGTGGCTGACAGCCAAACCTAGCTTGCGGTTGCTTGGTTGTTCTCTAGTATATAGCTGTGCTTGCTCAGGAGTTGTGCAGTGTAAAAGGTCTTCAGAGGTGTATAAATTAATAGCTAAGGGATTTCCTAACAATTGGGGTTTGTTACTAATTCACCAGAGAAAAAAAACCTACCACTCTGTAAAGAGATGCATCTTAGTGGGATTGCGGTAGACGTGGAGACAGCAACACTAACAGTACAGCTCAGAGACAGCCAGAGAACAGGGAAGCACAGTCTGCCAAACCAGAAAACGTTAATGAATATTTCAGCAGTAATTAATGACAGAGTTTCCTACTCCACCCCAGCACCATTCTGAGGTGCTGAATGAGGTGTAAGTTATCCCCCAGTTCTGGGCTGTCTCTGAGCAAAGAGATGAAACTCAGCCAGCTTTTACCGAAGGCTGAGAAAATACCTGGAAGGCCCTGGGTTTGTTTCAGTGCTGTCACTTCATGTTAGTCTCATCTCCTTGTAGCTTGAGTTTTGCAGCTTCTCCAGTTAATGGATATGCCGTAGGGGTCAGAAAGATAACTAATGATCTTATCCTTGCACAAAGATGTTTCTTAGAATTTCTTCAAAGCTTTGCTTTCCAAATTTTCTTTTTTCCATTCAGTCCTCTGCTGGTTTTCCCTTTCCATTCCTGAATGAAGAAACAGATATAAATATACACAGTCTCTTAAAAACTTTTTGGACTGCTATAGATACAGCTCCTTTTGATGTTCTGCCTATAAAAGCAAGCTCCCAAAGTGCAGTTCATTCTGTTGCAGGTTATTTGGGGATTTCGTTGCATTTACCTAGTTTGGTGAGTAAATGGCTTCTATATGCCACTTAATTAGGCCTAGATTATGCCAGACCCTAATGCAGCAGAGAAATTAAAAATTAAACATCTTTACAATTGCCAAATGTTTTAAATCCAACATGAGGGCTGCACTTTAATGCCATTCCCAAGCAAGAATGTGAGAATAAGTGGAGAAAGAGAGAGAAAGACAATGAATCAGTGCAAAACCTCTTTTGGCCACATAGTGGGACCCAAGGCTCCAGTTTAGGAGTCTAGGCTTCATGTAGGACAAATGGGCACAAGAAGGTCCAGGAAGTGCTCACCCTTGGTAGAGCTGGGATAGGTGTCACAGGTAAGCAAGGCATGTGGTTATTCTGACTGTAGTCTGACATGGTTCCTTTAAGCTATATTAACCTGGGGTTTAGCACTATGAAAACATGCTGATACAGTTTCTGGGCATGGGCAGACTCCTGCTCCGTGGGCTTAGAAGAGAAGCAGAACAAGGGACCAGCTGTAAAGGAAGCAAAGGTGTGTATTAACACGTTGAGAGGACGTGCTTCCCCAGCAAACTAAGGAACTTCAGATCACACTGTAAGTGAGCAGCTATTTCAGTACCATAAAAAATCCCCTTTTTCCCAAGGGTCCAGTTATATATTACCTGTATTGCATGTCCCCGTGAACACAGAACTAATAAGTCCAAAGCAAACACAAAGAATTTGTCACCAAAACCCCCAAAGCTTTGAATTTAAAAACAGCAAAGGACTGAACACTGCTGAAGATCCCTGTAATGCAATTCACTTCACTTAGGCACAGGGGCTAGTCTGTGCAAGCAGTTGCAAACTAACACACAAAAGGGTTTCCCATTTGTGAAAAGGTGCGAGACAGCAGTAACGCTTCCACGCATTTACAGTCTGTTTTCTAAGAAACGGTATGAAGACCTGTGCTAAAGATCTCAACTGCAGTGCACTGAGGGGTTTTTTGCTGGGTGTTACAAGGCCCAAGCGCGATGCTGTGTATTCTGGACTGCCATCTACTGGCATTTGCTCTGCTAACTGCTTACATAAGGTATTCCTCAGAGCATCTTCCTAACAATTTCCCTTGAGCTGGTGAATTTACATATGCAGGAGAGACGACATAGGCTGCAGTTTGAATATGAAACTTTGTCAAGGGTGAACTGAGAAATATGCTCAGGGCTGTTCTGTCAGGGAACAAAAAAATCTTGTTTTAAAGCAGCCTGTTTCTAATGCAAAATATGCCTCCTGAATGAAAAGAAGGCAATGATGTGACCCATTTTGTGTGTGCTTTATGCAGATTACATCCAGAAAAAACCATCTAGCTGACCTATGTTCTGTTACCATTTACTCTTCATATGATTGATAAAACATCAAATTATAGTTTCACGATAGACCCATAATTGATATTACCTAAATTACACTTTTCTGAAAAGCATCCCAGCTAATTTTATGGTTCAGAACAAATAGCAGAAGGTCATAGATAATCATTTTAATTCCTGACCCTTATGTTGGCATTTCTTGTCCATGAGTTACCAAATACCTTACAACATCTGGCTTCTGTTTAGGATGAATTCTGTTAGTCAGACCATTGATGAGGGTTACACTGAGACATAAATGGAAAAAAAATCAGCACTCTAACCATTTATAAGCCTCATAACATGATCAGTTGCATTAAATCCCACTGAAATGGATAAAAGAATGAAGGGAAAATGTTCCTTTGTTTAGATATATTTGAGCGTATGCTTGAAGATTTCCTGTCTGAGTATCTGAAAAGCCAGTCTTGAAGGCAGAATGGGATTCCTCTTTAGGACACAAAGGGGATATATCCCCAGGGCATTGGGGAAAGGATGAAAAGATAGGAGGTGGCAGGGTAGAGAAGCCAGAAGATGATCTTTAAGACTCCTTCCAACCTAAACCCTTCTACGATTCTGTGATTTTATGAAGATACTGACCTAGATAAGGTCCATAGGAAACATTGGTAAACAGGAAATCCACAGTTATATATTTTCAGAGCCAAGTGTTCCAACTTGGGTTGAGCTCCACCACCCAAGACGCACCTCCCTTCTTCACTAGTGCACTTCTAGGGACGTAAATCTGTGTATTCTCTATAAACAAAGACATTACTAGAGAATCTCTCTCAGTCTGAATTATCCCCCTATTTTCCTTCTAACAGGAATAAACTCTCTCAGTAACACAAAACAATCATAAAAACAGCACCGTAGCTACGCTTTGTGTTTATAACTGTAGCTCTCTCCCTGTGTCTACCTCTGCTTTATTAGTAGGGATTCTTCAGAGACTTCTTAGAAGCACAGTCCTGACCTCAGTCCTTAGATGCACAATCCTGAGCTTCTGGGGAGAGCTCACTGAGCTTCTGGGGAGAACGTGCACATGAAACTCTCTGCTGGACAACTACCTACAGCCTCCAAAGGCATCTTAGTAGGTTTAACAGACTAGGGCAGATTTCAGCTAATAAAGCAGTCTCTAAGGATAAATTTCTCTGATAAGCTTTCTTATCTCCTCAAAAAAAACCCATTTATTTATGAGATTCATATCCATAAGGAACTTATAATTTAAGAACTCCAGGTTTTTAAGAAATCTAGGTTATATCACCAGCTCCATCATGGTCAAATCACTTAGAAAAGGATTCATCTTGTCTCCTTGCACTCATTCCAAAGTTAGGCAGAAAAGCAACTTACCTTCGGCTCTGCCTTTAGTCACTTCAGAGGCACATCCATGCATCCAGGGTGTGATTCACCCCATCCTAATGCAGATGCAGAGCATGAAGTTGAACACTTAATTTTGCTTGCCTTGCTAACTGCAGTCTGGAGACAGTTTCTGCATTGTTTTTTTTTTTTTTTAACATTTTATTTCATTGACTTAGTCAATGGAGAGTTAGGAACCCTTAGAGACAAGTACATCTCACCTACCAGACATCTGGCTTAGGAAGGTTGAATCACACTCATGAGATGCCTCTCTTTCTGTTCATTGCAGAAGTTGTCCTAAAATGTTGCTTCAATCTGGCAATTTGTACACAGCTAGTGCTGGTGAAATGAATCTCCCACTCACTCCCTTCACTAACAGAGAATTGCATATTCTTCCATCCCATTCACAGCAGATATAATTGCTTTCACTCACCTTCTCATTCATTGTTTCGGTCCATAAAATAGAAGTACACCTCCAGGATGAAAGAAGTCTGGAGGTTTCAGTGTTATGTGTTTTCTCCCCTATGATATCTTACACAATAATAAGACCTGTTCTTTCTCCACAGAAAATTCTCATTAACCACATTGATTACCTGCTAGCCAAAGAGTCCTACATTTTGAAGTAGTCTCTGGTGGTTTGGAGTTTTATTTGGTTTGTTGGGTTTTTCAAAAAAGAAACCAAACAGTGAACTGCAGGTTTCAGTCAGAGCCTCAGCCTCACCTGAAAGTGATACAGAACAACTTATGGGAGACTTGAGCCACTGTTGCTCCATGTCATTTCAATAGACCCATCAACTGTTCCACTATACACACCCACCAGACACTCGAGTCTGATGTTCTGCTTGTCATTGTGTTGTTATATTTTTCTTCATTCCCCACCCTGACTCCATGTCAGGCAAGTTCCTGAACATAAAGTAGAAATGATTTAGTATTTGTGCTAACTTCCCATGGGTTTATTGAACCAAAATATGAAAGAAATATCCTCACTCCCATCACTTCTCTGACCAAGCAGAGGATGCAGTGAGAGTTACTATAAAAGCTCATGGTTGTCAGAGGTAACAAATAAGCTATTGTGGCTTAAAAAGACATTGAGCAGCACCTTAGTTGCATTTATAGTCTGTGTGGACACTCTTAGCCCATGGCAAATGTTTTACACATTCAAAATTAGTTGACTTTCATTTGAAGTTACACTGAGCCACCTCTCTTCCAAAGTGGACTGACAGCGTCTACAGATCATCTGACAAATAATGACTTGCTATGCCATAGTAACTGGAATTTGCCTGTGAACCCAGGCCATTTATATGAATTATGCAGGATTCGGACAGTATTTAGTATCTGTACCCATCGATCTGTTTAAGGTCCTTTGCTAATACCCATCAATACAGTATTTCTGTTGGTAATATGTGTTCATCCCTACAACATTCCTGGGAAGTAGAGCAATGTCTTTTCCCATTTTGTACATACAGCATCATCAAGACATAGTGAAACTAAGTGCACGTTTAGTCTGACAAAGAACAAACAGATATTTTCAGAATAAAAGATTTTTTTTTCCATATTCCAAGTCAACAATTCTCCCTTTTACTGTGAGGAGAAAAAAATATCTGTGATTATGGCTTTGTTCAGTAGTCTGTTGAAGCCAAAAAGCCTCCATTTAGCAACTACAGAAGGAGATTTAACTCTGTTTGTATCCTGCTGCATTGGTAGGTAACACTGAATTTAGCTTCAGTGAGTTTTCAAGGGAATAAATGAGAATTGATGTCTCGGTCCACGTGGGTAGTTTCAGACATAGACTAGTGTATTATTTCAAAATATGTGCTGTAGTAGAGGGGTGTCCTCTATAAAATAACCCAGCTTATATTAAAATCATGCATAAAAAATTAAAAACTATATAAAAATATAATATATATATAAAATATATATTCTAGCAACAAACTTATTACATTGTGCATTTTATTTGCTCCTTTAAAAAAATGAGAGTTGAAGTACCTCTTTTGTTTTCTTTTACTTTTTACAATTGCAACTCTGCTAATAGAAAGTGTTTTATACAGGTAATTTGTACTCGGTCTGAAGAGTACAACAGCCAAGAGGCTTTATGCAGTGGCACAAGTGAGGGGCCTATACTGCGAAACCCTGGAAACAATGATAAATCAAGGACACCAAGGCTCCCATCTTCAGCTGAAGTTGAATTTTGCCTATCACTAACTCAGTATGAATCTGGATCGATGGACAAAATGGCCAATTACAGTTTCCGAAACACTTTGGAAGGTAACATATTTTATTCTATTATTCTATGTCCATCTGTAAACTGATTCTCTGTGGGGTTAGACTCTTTAATCTCTGGGCAGGTTGATCTGATTCCATAATGTATCACACAAAATAAAAAGAAAAAGTTATGCTTTCTCCTGGAACAGCAACAAAGAACCATGTTAAAGGCATTTGATAAGAGAATAGAAACTGCCATCTAGATCAGACCCTAAACCCATCTATTAGGAGATACTGTCTCCTGCTATAGTCAGCACCAGGCACATCAAAGAAATGTAACACTGCATAAAAGGAGACAAATCCAATAATCTATTTACACATTAATATAACCATATCCCTGTGGGTTACAGGTTTGCCCTGGAAAACTCTCTTCCAGAGGCCAGGCTGGACAAGGGTGAAAGAGGCTGCTGGCAGTTGCATGTTATATCTACATTCTGCCACTGTGAACTCCATAGTATACTTCTCCCCAACTCTAAGGATTAGAGAATAAGTTACACCTCAAAAATTACCCTTAGAATAATTTCCAGATGAATTTACTCATTTATCTAACAATCCAACCTGCTTTGAATGTTCCAAATTTGCCAGTAAACCAGTGTTTTATTTCCTAAAAGGAATACTTACTTTCAATTATCTGTCTACCCAATCTCTTTTGAATCTTGCTAAATTGCTCATAAAAGGGATAGCACATTATAAATTTATCAATAAATATTGCTACAGTATCATATGTCAGCTGAATCAAACATCATCTATTTCTGATATCTCAGAGATTTTTGCTTGCAAGGAAGTGTACAAGGGCCAAGACAATGCAATATAGGAGTTGGTGTGAGGATGAGAAAGCAAAACTTTTAGTATGTTCAGCATTAATCCTAACACAGAGTGAAATGCTATAAATTTTTTCCAGAAAAATTTAAAAAAGTGAACCATTTTCTGCTCTTAAAGTCAAAAATGTGGGATTTGTCTCCTGAAGCTGACAGAGAATCCATACACTAATTGACTTCAGCTCTGGGCATAGCTGTGCATTCTATCCTTGAAAAGAGGAACCATGTGAAATACGAGAAAGAAAAAGGTAGCGTAATTGAGTAGGGGTTTGCCAGCATTTTTCTCCATGAAGTATGGGAATAGATGCAAAGGGTGGAATAGGTGGAGTAGAGAAAAAGGAATTGAAGCACACAAGTCAGGAAATAATGAGCATCTACCATCATGCATCTAGTATTGTAAACAAAAGCAAAGGCACAGCCTATGGAAGTTATGGAGAGCCACATATGAGTTTACTGAATAGCAGAGTCAAAATGGACCTCTCACTGACAAAGCCTAAATTTCAGTATCAGGACTGCTCATTAAATAACAATAATTCAGTGAATACTTGCAGAAAAAGGGTAAAAGCTGCTTTTTGTCAATGCTAAGTCTAAACTGACAGCTAAACAGTGTCATAGATCAACTATAGTCCTTTCACACAAATGGATGCATTTTCTTATTTAAAATAACAGTAGCTATTTGAAAACAGGCAGCAACATAGATGTTTGACAGAATTGCACAATGATCAGGAAAGAAACCACAGTTCTCAAAGAACCTGGAAGAAGTTATTTTAACTCTAAAATCAGAATCAGTGTTTTGTCTGATTAATCTATCAAACTCTCTCTCTATTGCTGTCTCTTTATCACATTAATTTCATGACTACTGAGTGCAGTCACAGATGGTCTTTGTTAATATCATAGTGTCATCTGCCAATCACACTTGAAGAGGGTCATGCATTAATCTGAATAATGGCAATGTCTCTGCATCTGAAAAGAGCACTTCTGGATCAAATTTTCCTCCAAGTGAGTTCTTTTGTTCTGCGTAACAACCCTTCAGAAGCTGAAGAGTATTCCTTTTTCTCCTAACTGAGGTTATGAAGCTCCAACTCATCACTGTGGTCATTTGAAGCCCTCCAAATGCCACACAAGAAACATCATGGTTGCCACCAATAGGCTTTAATGGTTTTCATGTGATTTAGATAATTCTTCCAATAGACTGGGAAAAAACTACTTGTTCTTGAGGACACGTGCAAGTCAGACATGATTCAGGAGCCATTGAGCTTAGGTAGCTACAGAAGCAGGATACACTATCTTGGTGTTGGGGTTTATCCCCAACTGGCAACTAAGCACCACA